CGGCTTCACATACACACACGCGCACGCACGTACACACACATTCATAAAAGACACACACAAAACAACATATGGCCCCCACCCTAACCCTCTGCCCTTATCTGGGCAGCCGCCTCGCCGCCTAGGCAGTCAAGGCCATGGCAGCCTAGGTGGCCGCCTCTGCCTTTTTGAACATTGTACACAAGTCAAGTGACCACACAAATGTTATGTCCAAATGAACAAATATTCCAACAAATGAAAAACAATATGTCAATGCGTGATGAAAACAACATCAAACAAGGACCAACTGAAATGTTCTGATAGTAACACTAAAACTAACAGCCACCCTCAAACCTATGTTGCTTGGACATGGATAGTTTAGAAAGTATCAGACAAGGGTACAAGGTGTCAGATTCCCCTTTCCATGAAGAACACAATTCAGCAACACGGCTATAACATAAAGATAACAACATCCAACATTATTTACTAATTTTCTATTTCACAACAAGTAGCCTAAAACGCAATTATAACTTGGTTGAATTCACACATGCTTTCAAAGTTAATAGGTGTCTACTAAAAATTAAAAAGAAGATTCAATTCTATATTAATGATGTAGTCAATGATAAGAGAATAAGAAGAAGAATCTAAAAGAGTATGTGTCAATATGTGCGTCAATACATGTCCTAGAAATGCGTACGGTGCCCAAACAGAAGAATCTATGTAAAAGACTCAAAATAAATTATTCTAACACTCAACCTCAAACTCAGATAAATCAGTAAGAGTTTGTCTGTTAACTACTTGCCTTATAGCCTGTCAAGGACATCTAAGAATGATATGATTGTAATTTGATACATCGTTACTGCATTTTACTGTGTATGTAGACAGAAAAATATCCTACATGCCGATAGGCTTATACTGTGGCATAAGCCCATGGGAGGTAGAGGGGTTGCTAGACCCTAAATTTCAGACCCGTGCCTACATCATCTTACTGATCAAAATTAAAATAAAATAAAATAAGTCCATAGAAGAAGGTCCATAATGAGTTGGCCATTTTCAAAGCAAACCATTGATGTGACGGACAATGGATCTTGACCTTCAAGAACTCCAAAAAATAAATAAAATGAAATTCAAAAATAAAATGAAATAAAATTGTTCATTTATTAATCAAAGATGTTTTGCAAAATTTCAGCTCAAGGAAAACTACTCTAGCCATGCGTTTTTAACCATCTACTAGGGAATTAACCCATTCTACAAAGGAGAACATAATTTCGATATGTTCTCAAATGGTGCTAAGGCTATGTTCGAGCCCCAAGGTCTGAAACTCTAGTTTATCAGAAGCGCACAAATCCTCGCATATTTTGATGAAATTGAGCCAGTCAGTATATTTATAAACTACCAGTTTATCAAAGCCTAAAATTGAGTGCCAAGTATTTGGTTATTCCGCCTCTTCTTTCAATGCATTCAACTGACTTTTACCGAACTCATTAGAGCAAATTATGTATCTTGATTCCAATAATACTTATAGGTCATATACACTTCCGAAATATCAGAAAAATAAATAAAAAGTATTACCTTCTAAATGAGCAAAGAGAAATACAGAGTTGAGATCAATACAATAATATGAATGAGATCTAAGCTTACCTTTGTGGCAATGGCAGTAGCAACCATGTTTGATGTAGCGACAGCGAGGAACATGAATACATAACTCAGGTAGTCACAAACCACAGTACCTGGCCCTGCAAACACATGCGATAAAAAAAAATTGTAGAGGAAATAAAAGAGAGATAAACTTTGCAGAAGTGAGAGAAAGATGAATTATACATTGGTGGAAGCAACAGGTATCACCAAAAAAAAAAAAGGTCAATACAAATCATATAAAGAGATGGGGTAAAATAAAAACCTAAGGCAGCGAGCTCCAAAGAGCTACTCTGGCCAATTACTGCAGTATCTATAAGACTCATCAGAGGACCACAAACCCATAAACCAGTTGCAGGCCCTGCAAACATAACAATATCCTTCATCTGTTTCCAAATACTCTGAGAAGCACCATTACCAAGCCCTAAAATTTCATCACCAGCCTTATTCGAACCAATTTCTCCAATTCCAGAATGCTGACCCATTTCTCCATTACCAAAAGGCTCATTCGACCCAATTTCTCCAACATCAAAAGGCTTTATCTCATCGTGAGAACCAGAAAAGGAAGAAGATAGAGCGGAGGCTCTTCCATGAAATTTGGAACTGGAGGGGGGTGAGACATAGGTTATAGTAGGGATTGGTTGGATGAGAGAGAAAGGGTGGGAAGAGAGGCGGAAAGGGCGATGAGAGAGAAGGGAGTGTCCGCGGAGAATCCATGGAGTAGAAGTAGACAGATGAAGAAGTGCCGATGGGGCCAGCATTTTCGTGCTTCAGGCACTGTTTTTTAGAGAGAAAGAGAGGAAGTTATTGGTTTGTTGGAGCCGTTACTGATGCGCCGAAATGTCCTTCTCTCTCTTTCGGTGCAATTCGCAATTTCGCCTACGGATTCATCCGTAGCTGTTGAGGTAAGGTGCACCTTCAAATTTTTTTCATGCAATATAATTTTGATGTAGAGTAGAGTGTTTTTAGGATTATCTCAAAATTTATTTGTATATTTAAATATAAAATTTTAAATTTTATGAATGATTAGAATCAAGTGGACCTATAACCATATGAAAACCTTGAAAATGGCCAGTATAGATAATATGTTCTAAAATGTACTATTTCTAAGATTTAAAATCTTTTTATTTTTCATGGTCATACATCTCGATGTCGAGATAATCAATCAAAGAGTTTTTCAACATTAAAACTACCTTTGCAATGGATTTTTTGAAGCGCATTTATAGTTCTACATTATAAGGTTGCATTATTATATAAACTTTTCCTTCCTAGAGTCGGTGTTCCTCACTTGCTAGTCGAGTTGTTAGGTACAAATGGGAATCCCTCCAGGGAAAATGGTCTGATAGGGCTGCAGCTCTATCAAAATAAGTAAAGCCTCACCTCCTAACTCAAGCAATAGAAAACATTTACATGGATCATCTTGACTTAATCATTATCGTTGTAAAAACAAATAGAATTTCAATCTCTAAAAATATTGTATATTTTAACAAATTGTTTAGGCGGTTCATTTCACTTTAAAAATAAATGTTCAAAGATTCACAAAGATCTGTACGTTTGTTGAGTTTCAAAATTTATTATCAGAATTGAAGATTGATATTAGAGCCATTATGGAGATTTCTGTCATCGAAAGTGCTTTTCAAACGAGTATTTAAGGTGAGGCTTTATTTAGTTTTTTTTAAAACCTATACCAAAGTTAAAGAGAGGGGCTTGCATAATTGAATTCAATTTCAGGTGGGCGTTCGTTTAGACGTGTAGTTACTCTGCTCAGTGCTTGTTCAAACTGAAGGGAAATTTAAGTGCATCGAAGAGGGAATTTAAAGAAAAAAGCGAGAGATGAGGGACATTGGCTATCCAAAAATTATCGTCCCCTTTAAAACGAAAAAGTTCATATAAGGTTGTAATTTCATTTGTAGAAGTAGAGCCGTAATAGGGTATAGATTGGTAAAAGATATGTCATTTTTTGATATTGTTTTAACACATGTTTTAGTTCTACACCGTCCAACTAAAATAGATGGTGTAGAACATGACAACTTTATTTCTACAAATAATATTGCTATCTTATATAAACCGTACCCCATTTAAAAAGCATGATGTGTAGGTTTGGACTTTAGAGGGCCCTGTCCGTTGTTCATGATTTTTTAAGCGGAAATATGTTCAAACATTGGATGAACGGCTGAACTCGGCTCCACTTGGAAAAGGACTCTAAGTTAGGACATATTGTAGTAATTTAGCGATTGAAAAAAAGGAAAAAGTTTATATAAGGTTGCGACCTTAAAATGTAGACTTAAGGTGCAACTCAAAAATCCAATAACAAATGTTGTTTTGATGTTGAAACTATCTAATACATCATGTTGACATCAAGATGTATGAATATATGAAAATATATAAAAATTTTGAGTTTCAAAATCACCCACATAAGGAAATCTCATATTACGGGGGATTGGGATTGATATTGATAAGTTTTATAAAGGAAATAGAAATACAAAAGATTAGGACTCTGTGATATATCTCTTGATGCTTAAAATATATATAACATCTATAGGAAGTTTCCTATTTGGTATGGATTCCTAACTTTATATATATATGATGAAACTGCAGAGACCCTATTTGGATCACTATATGGGAAAGGTGGCTTCCTCTAGAAAGAGAGGGACAAGAGCCTCCTATGCATGAGAGGCAATGCCTCGCCTTCAGAGAGAATAGAGTTTCCTATAGAGAGAAACACCCTGATGTGCCTCTTGTAGATTGAGATGTTGGTTTCTTGTAAAGAATCGATTCCAATGAAAAATAAGGTGGTTTCCCATTTTAGTGAGATAAAGCATCAGTTACTCTCAAGGGTCACTTCTTAGACAACAATTTAGCTGTGGAATAGATACGGGTCTCTTCTTGGACAATGGTTTAGCTATGGAATAGAGATGAGAGATCAGCTGATCGTGTCGATTAGGAGAGCAGGTCTAAAAATGTTTACTCAATTGGGTTTTGTCGAGGGTTATAAAGGTAACTCTATGTCCCAAAATCTATAATGTAACTTTCATTGGTATAGTTGATTTCAGTTTGCCGTGCATGTAGATGTAGCCCTATTGGGTTGAACCACATAAATCTTTGTGTTCTTGTGGTGTATGTGTTTCATGCTTTATTTATCGTATTATGGCTTGTGCTCTTTCCTATTTTGTTTCTAAATGGATAAATACGCGATCTTGTTGGGATCCAACTTTAGAATGCTTGTTTCTGCATCTAAGAGGGTTATTAAATCATAACAAGTGGTATCAGAACGCATGGTTCACAAGGCTAGTGTTTTTGCATTCGGTTGAAGAAAAGCACGTGAGGTGGAGAAATATGATGGCAAACACTAATTTTCAGTAAAAATGATGAATGAAATTATTTGGTCAAAGATGGAGAATTCATAAAGTTATCCACTAGATGTTGGCATGTGAGCAGGTGATTTTTTATATCAAGGTGGAGATTGTTGGATATGGTGGTTATCCAAAATTACCCACATAAGGAAATCACATATTATGTAGAATTGGAATTTATATTGATAAGTTTCATAAGGAAATAGAAATCCAAAAAATATAGACTCTGGGATATATCTCTTGCTTCTTGAAATATATGTAACATCTATAGGAAGTTTCTTATTTGGCATGGAGTCTTAACTTTATATATATATGTAAGATGAAACTGCCGAGAATTGGTGTGCCCTATTTAGGTCACCATATGGAAAATGTTGCTTCCTCTAAAGAGAGAGATAAAGCCTCGTGTACATGAGAGGCAACGCCTCCCCTTCAGAAAGAAGAGAGCTTCCTATTGAGAGAAACGCCTCGATGTGCCTCTTGTATATTAAAAAACTGGTTTCTTGTAGATAAGCAATTCCCATTAAGATTTTGAGAGGTTTCCCTTTTTAGTGAGAAAAAGTCTTGGTTGTCCCCTGGGGTATTTTATTGGACAGCAATTTAGTTGTGGAACATATATGGGTCTCTTTTGGACAGCGCTTTAGCTGTGGAAAAAAGATGAGAGATTAGCGGGTCATGCTGATTAGAAGAGCGGATCTAAAAGGGTTTATTCGACTGGGTTTTGTCGAGGGCTTAATGGGAAGAGCATGCGCGACGCACCTGTGGTGGACGAACCCCTCCTTTTTGAACAGGTTCTTTTCTTCAAGATCATGGGGGCTGACTGGGGACCCTTTGATCCTTTCCTCCTTTCTCCCTCTTGCCTTTTCTCCCCCGCGCCCAGGGGAACACTCCTCGACCCTGCACTTGCAGGAGTCCTCTGGTCAAGGTCGGGCCTAACGGCTAGGCAAGAACCTGACCCACCTCCTATCGGGGCATCCAAGCACGGGACCGATCTTCCTTCACATCTCAAGACCGCATCCCCCTTGGCACACCCAAAGATGGAGCCGAGGTCATCAAACAAGGATCTTGTCTCGCCTGTCAAAGACAAAAACTCCAGGCCAGCATCATCCTCGTCCAAGAAACAAGGATGGGCAAGCTCCCTCCAGTTGGCGGGATACTCTCTCAATTCAAACATCATGAAGAAGATGATGGGCGAGAGAAGACCGTAACAATCCCTCGGAACCTTATGCACATCCTTGGACCTTGCTCTTGGGATCTCGAGAAAACAGTAGAGATTTGAAGGCACACCATCCAGCGTGGGTCCATCAACACTGTTGCAGGGTCGAACATCTTCACCTAGAAGTGCAGCACTCGGACACACTCTAAGACCTGAGACCCGAAAGCCAGCCTCAGCAAAAGGCATGGCTTACCAAACGAAGGCTTCAAGAAAGGAGAGATATGATCTCCCCCTCTACAAAGAAAGAAAACAATAAAATAAAAAAGAAGCTTCTCAAAAAATAGAAGGCGTCGCCCTCATGCTCTCTCGGCCGAAGCCCCTTTTTATAAAGGCCACAAGCCCGTCATAAAAGCACTTTGCTTCCCAAGTAACGCTTCATCCAACCACACAGACATGTGTCACTACAATAGCACCTTGATCGACTGCCAATCAAAGCTCTCCCTTGCCTCGCCTCCCAAGCGTCATTTTCGAAGGATCACTGGTCAAATCTTATGTCATCTCACCTCTTAGGCGTCACTTTCAAAGGATTGCGAGTAAATCTTCTACCTTCCTGGCAACATTTCCTAAAAGCAAATGGGTTCATCATCAAAACGACCCATCTGCCTAGGCAATATCTTGCTACCATGTGGATGCATTCGGCCTCACAAAGTCCCACTTCAGCCATCATCAGATCATAAAAGAAAAAAAAAAACGCTCATCGCTCCAATACGCTCCCCATGTACAAAGGCACTTCTATCCCCTGACATCTCATCTACGGTGTTCACTGCTCCAGCGAACCCCGTCAAAGCCGAATACCTCCAAAGAGAAGAACCCCTGAAAAACAAGAAAAAAATTGGGCATGGTGAAAACCTGCAAGGACGCCATGAGTAAAAATGACAAGCAGGCATGGTCATGAGCCATGAGTAAAAATGGAAAGACAAGGCGGGCGTGACCTCAAAGTCACGAGTAAAAATGCCTCAAAAGGGAGTCAACGAAAACCACGCTTGTGGCACCACGCATATCCAATTTAAGTGAAAACCTGAAAGGAGGTTTGGATTAAAATCAGTAGGTTGATGTAACTACTGCTTAAAAAAAGGAAGACCCCAGCCAACTTCAAAGCAAGAAAAATCACAAAAGGCGCTGAGTAAAAAAAAATCCAAATTCTAGCCCCAGCGCCAAAATCCAAATTCCGGCCCCAGTGCCAAAATCCAAAATTTCGGCCCTAACGCCAAAGTCCAAATTCCGGCCCCAACGCCAAAATCCAAATGCCGGCCCAAGCACCAAAATCCAAAATTCCGGCCCTAGCGCCAAAATCCAAAATCCTTG